CCTGCTCAGAGCTGCTTCCCGTCGATCCTCTGCATCCTGCTTGTTCCTCTGACCTGACTACGTCTCATTCCCCAGGGTCAGGCCTGAGGCTGCTGGTCCCCTTTCCCAGAGCTGAGCACACAGCAGGTGCTAAATAAATGCTCTGGATTGTGTGCTGGCGGTGCCTTAGGCTCCTTGCAGTCTGAGCTGCCCGTCTAGACAGTAAGCCTAGAAGCAGTGGGGGCTTTTATTGAGCCCCGGGCGACCCTGTGAGGCTGTGGCACTACTCCGTTTTCCAGAGGAGAAACCAAAGCTCAGAGACCACCTCTCCATGCTTGCCCCCCAGGCCCTCTGACCCCACCCAGAGGTGGGACACGCAGAGGAGCGGCTCTGGCTCAGTGGGCCTCAGCTGGAGCCAGCCTCCCTGGCACCGCGGCCCGCGCCCCTCCCAGGCCAGCCGGCGAGCGGGCACTGGGCTCAGCTGGGGCTGCAGACCCCATTCTCTCCCCTGTCTGGGGTCCAGGTGTGGCAGGTCCCCTTCTCACACCAGAGCCTCCCTCTCTGGCCTGGCTTTCAGTCTGAAGCCTGGGAAGGGGGCGGGGGCACAGGGGCGGGCCGGGAGGGGAGGCATGTCACCATATATCCCCGTCAGATTAAAAAACTAATTTGAAAAGATTAATGTATTCCATTCTTGTTACGCTGGCTCTGATACCTCTGGGCCCGCGGCCGCGCTGCCTCCTGATTATTGAATTTTTATGGCCTGGTAATTAATTGCAGATTCCCTGTTTTGTTCTATTTCTTTTTCCCTGACATTTTAATTTCAACAAAAAGCAGTGGTCTCCATGCAGGTTCTCTCTGGAGATCCTAATGGTCTATAAAACAGAATGACTTATAGACGTGGCACCCACTTCAGTTGGCGAGCGATTGTTTGAAACCTTGCTGATCATGCAAAATTTAATTTTTCCACCTCCCTCCCCCATTCACTCCTCATTTCTTGTCTCTTCCATTGCAGCGCCAGCAACTCGGCTCACAACGAGGGCAGCACAGTGTCGCCTCCGAATCTGTTCCAGGGCCTTTTCCTAAAGGCCAGGGGCCTGGAGACAAAGTGGGTTTTGATTTTGTACCTGAGAGGTGGCCCCCAGAGGTGGGGGAGCTGGGCCTCCCCACAGGGCCATGTGGACGCGGGCAGCTGCCCCAGGGAGGAGGGGACCATTTCCACCTTTCTCAGCTGCCCCTTTGCCCAAGTGCAGCTGCTCCATTAGGCATCATGGCGCCCACAGGCTCATGAAGGCAGAGGAAATGGGGTGCTTCCCTTAGATTCATAGCAGGAAGTCAGAGGTATGACCTGGTCAATTCTCAGCCAAACCAGATCACTGGGAACAGCTGTCCACACAAAGGGGTCTGGAAGAGGCACCTGAATTTCTATCCTAATGCCCCCAACTTTTACTTCTCCCAGCCCTGCTAGCATCACAGAGGCTAGGCCCGGTCCCCGAAGGTCCCCCGGGACTGGGAGGAGCAGGAGCAGATTAGGTCATAGATCAAGTGGGCCTACGGCAGTGGTCGGCAAACTCATTAGTCAACAGAGCCAAATATCAACAATACAACAATTGAAATTTCTTTTGAGAGCCAATTTTTTAAAACTTAAACTATATAGGTAGGTACATTGTTGTTAACTTAATTAGGGTACTCCTAAGGCTTAGGAAGAGCCACACTCAAGGGGCCAAAGAGCCACATGTGGCTCGAGAGCCGCAGTTTACCAACCACTGGCCTAAGGGATTGGAACTCATGTCTTCAGGGATGAGGCAGGTAGGAGCGGGGAGGGCGATAGAGAGCAGTGGGGACTGTGGTGCTCCAGAGCTCATGCCCATCAGAAGGCATAGCAGCCACTCGACCGCAGCCCATGCCGCCACGTGGAAAGATGGGCGCAGGGTGGCCAGAATGTACGATTTCTCAGGGAAGGTTGGAAATCTGGCTTTTAATGAGAAATTTTTTAAGCGCTGTGTCAGTTGAATTGAATACATCTTTTTTTTTTTTAAAATTTTTTATTGAAGGGAGAGAGAGAGAGAGACATCAATGTTGAGAGAGAATTATTGATTTGCTGCCTCCTGCATGCCCCGCACTGGGGATCAAGCCCACAACCCGTGCATATGCCCTGGCTGGGAATCAAACCGTGACCTCCTGGTTCATAGGTCGATGCTCAGCCACGCTGGCTAGGCTGAATACATCTTTGGTCTGACTCCTGGAACAACTGTTCCCTCCGATTTAGAGCTTCGATCAGAGAAGTCGGGCCATGGGAGTGATGTCCGTTAGGCCAGAAGGGCCTCTGTGGTCAGCCCCGCCCGTCCCTGCCCCTGGAATCCTCTTCCTACCTCTGGGCCCGTCGGTCCCTCCTCACACTCAGTGGGCTCCTCCCCAGCCGCTGAGGTGCCTCTGGGTCTCCCTCCAGCGCTTGCCTTCTTTCAGCCTCTTCCCTCCTCAGGGAAGCTGAGGCCTGGAGTCTGAACACATCTGGGTGAAGTCTGCTGCGTCCTCCCCCCCCCACCCCCCCCAACCCCCCGTCCGTCCCCCCACCCCCCCAGGACGGCATCTCTTTGCCTAAGTCTCCAGGACTCTAGGGTGCCGGTTTGGAGCTGAGCTGATGCAGGGAGGACCGCGAGTCGGGCTCCTGGGGCTCCTGAGATGAGTGGGGGCCCACCGGCCTGCTCCCCCTTTCTTCTTTTTATGAGACCTTCAAAGCTTGGTCAGCCACCTCCCCACCCTCTACTGCCTCAGTTTTCCCTCTTGGGACAAGCCCGAGGGAAAGAAAACCAAGGCTCCAGACGTCACATGGACTCGGATGCACACATTGGTCCCACCACTCGCTCTGTGGCTATGTGAGCTCAGCGCTCCTCAGCTAGAAAACGGGCTGACACTTCCGTGTGAGGGTTCTGTGCTGGGCAATGAGCTGCCACACACTGTGCCTACACACCCACTACTACCTCGTGTCTGTGGGTCCCCAGCCTGGCAAGGTGAGGTCTGGCGGCCGGGCCCTCTTCCACGCTCTCGGCTGTGGCAGACTCAGGTCCTCACGGGGCTCCTCCGTGTCCAAGGCCAGCAAAGCACCTGGAACCTTCCTGATGCTTCAGATCGCTCTGCCTTCCCCTCTGCTTTTACGAGCTCCTGTGACTGCATTGGGCCCTCCCAGACAGTCCGGGGTCACCTCCCTATTTGTAGGCGAGCTAGTTAGTAAGTAACCGTAGTTACACCTGCAAAGTCCCCCTTGGCAGTGACATTGGTGGTGGACATCACGAGACGAGGGCAAAATTCTGCCTGCACAACCTCTAACCTCTCAGATGGTCATATGGATTGTTATCCCTCCTGGTTCCTCCCCCCACTCTCCCCCCCTCCCCAGAACCAGGGGTTAAATATTTAAATACTAGGACTCCCTGCTGTGGCACCCACAGAATGGGAGGGGAGAGCCTTCCTCCTGGCACCCCTCTCAGAGCTAGCACTGTCTCCATTTTCCAGATGTTTAAACCAAGGCTCCCAGGTGTCAGGTGATATGTAAGTGGCAGAGCGGGATGTGAACTTGTCTCTGGCTCAGCTTCCATAAAAGCTTGTCATCTCGTCCCTGGGCCCCAGCCCAGAGCCCCTGGGTCCTCTGGAAAGGCATTCAGCTCTTTGGGGAGGCACCGCCATGTGCCAACAACTGACCTGGGAATCAGTTTATCTGGCTCAACCCAGGTGCTTCAGGGAGTCCCTGGTGAATAACGCAGGTGTGTTTTTCATGGTGTCACGTGTTTCTCTCCTTCTTTCTCATCGGGGCGGCCAGGGGTGCTTCTGACGGACACCTCGGCCCACCCTCAGAAGCCTTCCAACGGTAGACTTCATGGGCCCTTTGAGGACTGGCTGAGAACGTGTCCCTGCAGCTTCTCCCCTCCATGGAGACACTGCCTCACGGTGAGTCCTTCCTTCCCCCAGAGAACAAGCACACGTACTTCCCAGAAGGCCCGGGACCTACGTCCACCCGTCAGATGGGGGCACAAGACAACGCAAATGCAGGCCGTGGGTGAGCGCCGTGTGTGGGACGGTGCTCAGCAAGCCAGCGTGCACGACGCGGCCCGTTTCTGCCGGTGGTTGGCGCAGCCTCTGGCCAGCGGGGGGCTGTGTGGTGGCTGTGTTCTCACCAGAACGGTCCCGGATGCGGTTGGTGGGCTTCCAGCTGTACAGCTCCTGCTCATGTGCACCAGGCCTGATTCTCGGGCCTGGCAGAGGCTGCTGCCTACAACAGAGTGGATCTGTTTTTGCCACAAAGTAAAAGCTGCTGTTTGCAGGGAGCAGCTTCCATGGTTTGCAGTGAAGGGCCCTGCCTGGCACTGCTCCCCTGTGGGACCGATGTCCCCTCCTCCAGCCGGCACTGCTGCTGTCTATCCCTGAAGCGTCCCTCCCCTTGCCTTGCCAACAGGAGCCTGATACTCACTGTTCAGGCAACAGCGTGCCCAGCCCTGGGGGGTGAAGTGTGCTCCCAACCACCCCAGTCCTCTTTGCAAGGGTCTGTCTCACCCGCTCCTGCAGTTCATTTCTGGCCAGAGATGAAGGGGTGCCTCTCAGGACATTTTCCTCCCTGATAAGAAGAAACCCCTGTTCTTGCTTAGCCTCTCTTACCTTGAATGGGGTTATGTAAAGATGAAATGGTTGGGACCATAGCAGCCATCTTGTGGCCATGAGGCAACAAGGTTAAGGCTTAAAACACCAGCCCTGGCTGGTGTGGCTCAGCTGGAATGTCATCCCTATACTGGCAGGTTGTGGGTTCAATCCCCGGTTGGGGTGTGTACGAAAGGCGATGAATCAAAATCGATGTGCTCTCTCTCTCTCTCTCTCTCCCTTCTCCTCTCTTTAAAGTCAATGAGCATACCCTCGGGCGAGGATTAAAACAAACACACACAAAATCCCCCAAATCATGCCCCCCAAAGTGAGGATGGCGAGAGGAAAGATGGAGTGTTGGTCCTTGAAGACATCACTAGCCATTGAACCACCACCAGCAGCTGTTTCCCTCCAGACTACTCGTCACATGAGAAAATGGAGCCTTTGTGTTTAAGCATTTTTTCCATTGATTGTTTTTTTAGAGAGAGTGGAAGGGAGGGAGGAGGGGGTAGCGAGAGAGAAACATCGATGTGAGAGTGACATCAATTGGTTGCCTCCTGCTCCTGCCCCGACCAGGGCCAGGGATTGAACCTGCAACCAAAGTGCGTGGTCTTGACTGGGAATCGAACCTGAGACCCTTTGGTCCTCAGGCCAGTGCTCTAACCACTGAGCACCCCAATTAGCTGCATAATGTTTTACTTGACGCTCAAAGCGTTCCTGACTGATACAGCCCCCGAGCAGGCCCGCCGGTGCGGTGGGAGGGCTTAGAGTTGGTACTGAGGTAACCCTGCTTGCTTTTCCTCAGGCACAGGGACCGGTTCCTGCCTGAGCTTGAGATCATGCCCTCAAAGCGAGGCCTCGTTTTCCCTGGGAGCGAGCTTTCTCGCAGGAGATGCTCCATCCAAAGACTCAGCGCAGGCCAGCCCTCCCCACCGGCGCATCCACATGCCTGCACTGGGCACCCCCTCTGTCCTGCTGGGGCCCCTCGGCCTCTCCTCACGCCCCATCCCTGGTGAGGAAGGGGTGCGCCCACACTCCACAGGGGGCTCTCAGAGGAAGGGACTCACCCAAGGCCCCACAGCAGGACGTGGGGGGCGGCTCCAGGTCTGTGTGGCCCTCATGGGGGTCCCTCCCCTCCGGGGGGCCTCTGTGTGCCTCAGAGCCTGGGGCAGTGGACGGCCAGCTGGGTGGGAGCTCCCGGTCAGCTTGCTGGGGACGGGGCTGGGGAGCCCGTGTCCTCCTGGCATCGTGGTCGGGGCTGTGCTGTGGCCGTGCTGCATACCAGCCCCATGTTTGGCTTCTAGAATAAGCACCTCATTTTCTCGCTCGTGGTTCAGAGGTCAGCCGGGGTGCTGCTGCTTCAGGTGGTGGGTTCAGACATTCCAACCCGGGATGCTCTTGCCCAGCGGACAGTGCAGGTGCGAGGGGCCCACCACGCGTGCTTTTAAGGCCTCTGCCTCCGGTCACCGGGGTGCCAGCGGCCACGGCACCACCTGGCCAAGCCAGGTCCGGAGCCAGCGTGTGTGCTCTCTTCTCCGTGGGCTGGCCCTGAGAGGGCGCAGGGCAAAGGGTGGGGACCTGGAACCCTGCTGCTGGTGGTGGAGTGCAGTCAGGGGCAGCAGGCCCATCTACACACAGATCCCAAGGGCCCCAGGTGTCCCCAAAGCTCAGTGCAGAGACCCGCCCTGGGCACGGCCTCTGCTGGGGCAGGCAGGCCAGGGCGGCTGCCGGATGCAGGAGCTAAGATTTTCCCATCAGTTTAGCCTCAGAGGAAGAACCCGATGCTCGGGAGTGTTGCCCGAGGTTGCAAGGCTCCCCCGCCTCCACCCACCTCCCTGCCCCCCTGAAACCAGGCAGGAGAGGGAGCTGAGGGGTCAGGCTCAGCGTCCCTGGGCCCAGCCCTGAGCACCTGCCTCCTGGCACAGGAGAACCCCCAGCCCTTTCTTTCTCCGCCACCGTCACCTCAGCACACGCCCGTTCCCCCAAGTCGCCAGGAAACAGCCCTGGATGCAGGTCTGGGGCTCAGGCTGCGTGCAGGGGCCGCTCAGCGCTTGTTCACATCCGCAGCCCCAGGCTGGCCTGGGGACATACTTTGTTTTGCTTGATGAGTGTTTGGTTTGTTTGCATGGAGCCAATGCTAAACAGTCGGAAATTTTCACAAAGAGTTGAGATTTGATTTCCATTTCTGTTGAAAACGCCGAATATTTGACAAAACTGGACCCATTTTGCTGCATGGCGAGTCTGCCAGGACTGACTGCACGTTCCTGCCCCCATCCCCGCCCCCACACGGGTCCTGGGCTCATGCCACAGTCCCCACCTCTCCCTGCTGCCTCCAACAACGGATTTCACTCATATTCCTCATCGGTCTTTGTGCTGCTGGCACGGGAGCTGTAACCTCTGATTTAAT